AAAAATTATAAATTAAAATAATTTATTTTTAATACCTAACTTATAAATATATTTATGTTAATTTGTAATTTTTAATATCTTTATTTTATAATTTATATTATATTAATTTGACACTCTTTATTCTAAATGTAAACTTGTCATCATTAATAAGTGTAACGACCTGTCATGGCCGTCACACTACGGAACAACACTACACACTACAAGAATATATATACTAAAATAGTATATTAAAATAATTACAACACAAGTTGCTAATCAAGCAACCAACAACAACCACGAATTAGAAAAGAAGTTAAATTTTTTTTTCGAATCCTCTCTTTGAAGAAAATTTTCTATAAATATTTTTGTACAAGAAAGATGTTCGTGTTTAATATATAAGGATTGATACGATAGTAAAATTAAGATTGTCTATGATTACATATTAACACCCACTTTTATCATCTAAAAAAGAGGAAGAATTCGAAGACACATAGAGACGACCTTGAAAATTTGCATCTCATCTATAATTTGACATTTATTGAGCTAAAGATAGATTACTTACTAATAAGTTTGTGCTTTAAGACAATATATTGTATGTCTAAAAAATTTAGACATATCCAAATATAATTGTGATTCAAAGTCTTCGTATGTGTTAATATTTTTGTTTAAATCCACCCAAATTCATGCGTACTCCACATAAATAAATTGTTGCTTCTATGTTTAATTACATTTGAAATTTATGTAAAGGTAAACACTCTTCATTTCTTTGTTACCCCAAAATTACAAATATTTTTGTCAAACAACTAGTACCTTTTGACTACTCATACAATAAGGACTTTTTAAGGAATACAATTTTTTGCAACCATTCTAGACAACCCTATATTTGGTTACACACTTATTAAAAATTGAATAAGTTTGTATATATCTTATGATACATAACACAATGAATAAATAATAAATAATTATGCATATACTTGTGGGTTCTCTAGCAGGTATGACTCCACAACTCTGTAAATTGCGATAGTGCTTTCCCTTCCTTCCTTCACCTCTTCCTCTTTAACACCAAACTCCCCAATGGTCTTGTAGTTACTTGTCATTTTGCAGAGGCAACCTCCCTCACTAGTGGCCTCAAACTTCACCTCATAACCTATAGACTCAAGCTTGTCACCTAATGGATCCCCTTCAATCATAGTGTATTTGCAAACCAAGTTGTCCTTATCAAGCACATCAATCCTGTGTTTCAGGTATTTGAAGGGGCTCGCTGCATAAAAAGAAAAACAAAACAAGTCAATTCAAGAAAAATAGACAAGTGATCCTATTTCAGTTCAAAGTTGTTTAGACATAAGTTAGAAATATTTCTCTACAAAAAATAAAGAGTTATTTTCAGTAGAAAAATTTTAAAAAAATATTTCTAAAATTACATTGAAACAAAGTTTTTGTCCATGCTAATTTGATTTCTAACCTTCATTGAAGTTAACTTGTTCAATGCTTCCAGCTTCCCCATCTCCTTGGATGATATTCACATCTTTTACAAACTGAGGCAAGAGCTTCGGAAGCAAATTTCTGGAGTCTATGATCAGGGCCTTGAACATGCGTGATGGGGCAACAGCGGAAGAGTACTCCTGTGTAAAGGTTGTGACTCCCATAGTGAATTTTGTAGAATGAAGAAATCAGGGATTCAAAGTTGTGAATGGTAGATGCTAGATCCAGAGGGAAGGATTGGTGTTTTATAGGTCCACCAGCCCTATATCAAAGTGAGTTTCGTGGAAATGAGACCTTTGATGGAATGAAACTTGAAATGGACATTTATTTGGTAACAATGATCAATGAGAATTTTGGACTTTTCTCAATAAATTTATCCAGAAACAGAAAAACAAAAATGAAATGAAATATAAATCTTTATAAATTAAAATTAATTTATATATAAGTTAATTTTATAAAATTTCTATCGTATTAATTTTTTTAAAGTTTATTTTTTTTTTAACTTATGTTGTTATACATTTAATTTATGAAGAAAATTTGTTTCTTAAAAATATTCTTTTATTGAGAAATTTATTTGACCATATCCTAATGAAGACATAAATGTTGGTGGCTGCTGCACTTTTTTTTGTTTGTTTCATAAATAAGTTTATTATTCAAACTTATGGCCCCACACATGGATGGCTAGTTGAAGGATCAGGCCGTTTGACAACATTTTATAGACTTGGATTCATACTATTCATGATCAGAGTATTTCCTTACCTACCAGCTATATGCTAAGAACAACAGGTGTTAATGTGTAATTCACCAAAAGTAGAAGTGTGTTTACCTCAACCGATGTGAACATGTATTCCAGTTTTAAGGTTTGTGACTCCCATAGTGAATTCTGTAGATTGATAAATCACATGGAATCAAAGTTGTAAATGATATGTTGATTCTTGAGGAACAGATCCAGCAATCCCCATATGAACTAATTAAGTTTCGTGGAAAATGAGCCCTTTTAACAGAATTGGATAAATTTGGAAGTCAAGACCTAAAATGGACATTCATTTGGTAGTTAACAATGTTCAATGGGAAATTTCTTATTTGAAGGCTTTCAAAAGGAACTTCCAATTAAAGACCTAAGATGATTTTTTTAATAATTATTTTTATTAATTTCATAAGAAGGTTTTCAAAAAAGAAATAATTATTTAGATTCCAAACATGTACTATTCAAACTGATGGCCAACATTGTAGACTTGAATGAACTGGTTTCACACAATGGTGCCAACATTTTATTATTACTTTTGTATAAAAACTGTGTTGTGTTACTGTTTTTAATTCATTATTCTTTGCATTACCTCTAAATTAGTAGCAACAGTGGGCATTTTTAATGAAGATGTGTAACAGAAGTGTTCCCGAAACTTTTACACCTGAAGAAGGTTAATCTAATCAGGATAAGCAAAAATGACAAAACTGAGGATTTCCTGAAACTTCTACTAATTGTGGGTTTAATTTCCTTCTTGTATAGGAGCAAGTATTACTATTCGTTAGAACTTAGAATGGCAATAAGAATAGCATTTCAATTTAGCTTTCTTTAAAAAATATATATATACATTCATTAATTAATAATATACTTTCTTACCATTTTTTTATTTTCTAAATACTCTTTTCTAGAAAAATATTTTTCATAGGAAAAAATTATTTTTCAAAAATGCTTTCTGGAAGACAAAAAAAATTGTTTTTCTGAAAGAAAAATAAATTTACTTTTCTGAAATATATATTTATGTTTTCGGCAAGTACTTTCAGAAATATAATCTTTTTGTTTTGGTTAAATACTTAATTTGGTCTCTTATAATATTTTAAAATTTTAATTTAATTTCACTTTAATTTTTTGTTTCAATTTGGTCCCTAATAATTTAAATTACTGTAATATTGGACTTTCTGTCCAAATTTCTTAAACGGAGTTAACTGTTGGTCACGTGAAGGTCACGTAGATACCACGTGAATGCAACGTCAAATTTCTTTAATACATCTGAAATCAAAATGACTGTTCTGCTTGCACTTGTAGTGTGTTATTTTTAAAATGAAATAAGTTGAAAAGATATTTAAAAAAATTGAAAAAAAAAACTGAGGAGGAGCGTATCTATTAAGTTATAAGTAAGAGGAGGTATATATAACATTTTTTTCCTTTGATTTTTATAGTTTTATAGATTTTTGTTGCCGGTTCTTCCTCTCTGAATTTTCTTTCTAACACTGTATGCGTAGGGTTTCAGACTTTGAGGCCTAATCTGATAACATGTTTGTCCTTTTCCTTTTTTATATGGCTGATGACAAATACGTCTTCATTTTTATATAAACACACTCTTTTTAAAAAAAATATATATTGAATTTCTAAATTATCCTTAATATTTTTTAAAATTTATAATTTTTTAGATTTGCATCTCTCTTGTTCTTTCTTTTCCTCGCACCTCCCTTATTTTTTTTTTCTGGACACCTCTCTTTTTCTTTCTTTTTCGCTCCTTTTTTCTTCGTCACTTTTTTCTCCGACTTCTCTACCTCCTCTTCTACCCTTTCCAATTTTTGCAATATTTTGTTCCTTTTTATTTTGTTCCGGAAAGTACTTTCTTGAATAGTGAAGTTTTTGTTTCGAAAAGTACTTTCCGGAATAATAAAATTTTTGTTCTAGAAAATACTTTCCATAATAGTAAATTCTTATTCTGGAAAGTATTTTTCGGAAATGTTTTGTTACATAATTCCAGAAAGTACTCTCCATAATACTTAAGTTACTGTTTCCAGAAAGTTTTTTCCGGAACTATATAAGAAACACACTTCCAAAAAATGCTTTCCGGAACAATAATTTCACTATTCCGAAAAGTATTTTCCAAAATGCTAAATTTAACATTTTGAATTTTATTTTCCGGAAGTATGACAAATTTAACTTGTGACACCCTTACTACCCCAACACATATATAATATCAGGAGGTGCCTGGAGTTGGATTGGTTTTTTTGTAAGCTACCTTATAATAACATATTTTGTTGTATATAGCTGGTTGTTGTTGGTTGCTTGATTAGCAACTTGTGTTGTAATTATTTTAATATACTATTTTAGTATATATATTCTAGTAGTGTAATGTTGTTCCGTAGTGTGACGGCCACGACGAGTCGTTACAATAATTGTATTTTACTTCTGTACTTAATGTTTTGTCTTATGTAAGCTTACCTTTGTATTTTTCTTGTGGTTAGACTGCGATGATCATGTTTGTTATAGGAGCAAGGAAAAAAATAAGATAAAGGTTGTACACTTTTGAGGGCCACGGTGGAGGATGATGAATTTTGTTTTGGGCTACACTATGATGCAACTAGTTTTAGTTGTTGCTTGACTGATGATGACGAGGATCTATGTTTTCATTTGAATTATTGTTGATATATATTTATATATGTGCAAGATTTATGTTGTAGTTACACTAGGGAATAAATGTGTCTTTAGTTAATTATTTTTCCTACATACATACATAAATACATACATACATATATATATATATATATACATACATATATATATATATATATAAAGATTTATGTTCCTAAACTATTTTAAGTTCAATAATAAAAAAATGGTTCGGAGAAATTAAATATCTTAAAAGATTTTTTTATATAAATAAAAATTTATTCCAGTTATAATAAATTAATATTATACAAATAATTGATTATTAATCAAATGTTCGTTGTTTGTTAAAATAATATTATACATATAATTGGGTGCAAAATATATTATGAATTATGATTTGGTTCATGATATATACACCTCTTTTTTTCTATAAGTACACCTCCTTTAAAAAAAATTAATTTTACATCTACAACATTTAATTTTAGTACTTTTTTTTCACACACTATTCCTCTTTTTTTTTCAATTTTTACATGTATCCTCTTTACCTTTTTTTCACTTCACCTATTTTGATAGCATGTGAAAACAAAAAGAGAAAAAAAAATGTGTGAAATAAAAAAATAAAGTAGAAAATTAAAAGTTAAAGGTGTAAAATTAAAAAAACTAAAAAAGAAAACAATATTTTATAATTTTTTTTTTAAAAAAGAAGTGTACTTATAAAAAAAAAAGAGGTGTATATATCATGAGCCTTATGAGGCACGGCCTAGCTAGGCCCAACACAAGCAGCCTTGTTTGTTTTTGTTTTAGTTGGATGGGACCGAGCCATCCACAAAGAGATGAGCAAGCTTGAACATTTGGGAGCACATTTGGGAACAGGTTTTTGTTAAATATATTTCCCTTCATTAATTATACTTCTATTACTCTTTTTTTCTTCTTCTTCCAAATATTCTTTAATTTTATTTTTATTTTATAATTTTTAGACTTCACAAATCCCTTCTTTCTAGAAGTATGAAAAATATACTTTCGGAAAGTGTTTTTTCAAAATTTTAAAAAAACAAATTAATTCTGAAATCAACGAAATTATACCTCATGATTAGACGTCTTTGGAAAAATTCACCAAGTTCTTTATTTTTATGTATAATTATTGTTGTATACGACATATAAAATAAATTACAAAATATGTATTAACACATTAACTCATACCTTGTATCTATGGAGCAGTGAAGATGAAGTAAAAAAAATGGAATTTAAAGAATGATGAAGTTGAGAGTGAAAAAGTAGAACTTAAAAATTATAAAGATGGTGTATGATTGTCTTAATTGTTAAAGAGAGAAATCAAGAAGAGAAAAAAAAAATAAGATACAGTGATCAGAGAAAAATGGAGTAGAAGAAGAAAAAGGATGAAGGAAGGAAGTGAATGATAAAGATTGATTAGCAACTTGTGTTGTAATTATTTTAATATACTATTTTAGTATATATATTCTTGTAGTGTGTAGTGTTGTTCCGTAGTGTGACGGCCATGACAGGTCGTTACACTTATTTAGCAGAACGGCCAGTTCTCCTTCCAGAACGGCCCGTTCTCCAAACCAGAACGGCCCGTTCTCCCTCTGGAACGGCCCGTGCTCTAAACCGGAACGGCCCGTTCTCCCTCCAGAACGGCCCGTTCTGCTTCTCAAATTTTGGGCCTTTAACTTATTCCAGAACGGCCCGTTTCACTTTTGAAACAGCCCGTTCTGGGCAACGAATTGGGCCTACGGCCCATTGAAAATTGGGCTGTTACATAACTTACGTGTTTCTTTATCTCCGTCGTCCACCACGTCGTCTATGATCAAAGTAGGTTAATTATATATTCTTGTTGTCCATAAGTAATGTTAAATAAGTTAAAAAAAATTTATAAATATAGAATGTAATTTAATATATTAATTTGTACCATGTATTGAATGTAGAGAATAATGAAGATTGAATAAAAAATTAGAGTTTAAGAAAGAATAGAGTAGAAAGTGAGAAATAGAATTTAAAAGATAAAAATATAAAATATGATTATGTTGATTGTAAAAGAAAAAAAATCAAAAATAAAAAATAAAAAAAAGAATAAAATCATCAAAGAGTGACTAAAATGATAAAAAAGAAGAATGAGAAAAAGAAAAAGAAAGAAGAAGAGTAATAATGAAAGAAGGGGGTGAATAAAAAACAAGTTTAAAAATAAAACTTAAAATAAAAATTTAATTAAAAAGATATTTTAGAAATTTTATTTTAAAAAAAGAAATTAGAGATATATTTATAAAAGATAAGAGATGATATCATCAGCCTTTCACAATCAAATGGACAAATTGAATGATGGTGACCCTGTTAATTGCTTATTTGTGAACTGAATTATTGTGCATAAAATAATTAATACTTCTGGGCTTTAAATTCCTGATTTGATTTTGCTGCTGTATATGGGTCACAGTCGGCAAGCATATAAGCCCATAATTGAAGCTCACTGTCTGATCTTTATCAAAGTTAATTGGCCTCATTATATTATTTGGTGTTAATAAAAAAAATGAAGCAATAGTATCATTTTTCTTATTAATTTATTTTAACATTTTTTAACCTCTTATCTCCTTTAATATATTATTTTTATATTTATTTTAATATTTTTAAAAATTATGAT